ACACCTCGACATCATTTCCTCAAGAAAAAATGATGGAACAAAACAAATCTATCGATTGGAGTTCACCAGTATTACGTTTGCAAAACTCACGTGCCCATTGAAAAGCTTTGACTTATAAGATGCAACTTGAAGAGTGACGTCACAATTGTCGTTTTAAATTTCTTTTTCGAATCCTGAGAATATTTCTGGCTTCCTTGTAACCAACCTTTCACGGCAATTCTTTTAATGTCTTGCCATTGCCGCATTGAAAAGCCTTGACTAATATATAGAATGAAACTTTGAAGAGTGACGTCACAATTTTGGTTTTTTAAAAATTTCATTTTCGAATCCTAAGAATATCTTTGGCTTCCTTGTAACCTTTCACGGCAGCTCTTTCAATGTCTTCTCTTTAATTTGTCTACTTCCCCACTCCGTTACACTTAAAGCCAAAGTAACTCCATGAGATCCGTATTGTCCTCTATAATTAAAGTGGCTCACCAAATTTCTAATCGATTTAAATTGTAGCTGCATGTAAAGAGCGCGTGACAAAAGAAAACCAGATTTAGATATTTCCTGGAGTCCGCAATAATAATACTTAAAATAATGGTAACCTTATAAATAAACCATTATCGTTTGACACCCTTTCGAAGAGTGTGATTAAAAAGGCTAAATAAAAGATTTATGAAAGGTAAAATATCAGCAAAGTACAAGGTAAAATAAATAAAACCGACGACAAAAACTATCACAATAATAACCAAATAGTCTTTGCGGTATTTAATTTTGCAAAATTTTAGATCTCCGGATCATATTTCATTTTCGAGCTAAGAGTGTTGAGGCAGTCGCATTCACAATTTCATTTACAGGAGAGTCACGCTAAAACTGAGTTCTTTTAGGTTTGTCGAAGAGCAGAGTCTTGGAAATCCAAGGAAAACTGGATTTGGATGATGAGCTTTCTTCAGGTGAAGGAAACAAAACAGCAAATAAATTGCTCTTCTTAAGTTTGTAACATTTTTAAGAAAGAAAGTTACCTAAATAAAAAATTTTATAAAAAAGAAAAAAAACAACAAACAAACAAACCGTAGTCAACGAGTTTACTGAGTGGATTCACTTTACATCTGTTCTCAAAATGAACTATTACTTTCCATAGGATCTCTAGACATGGATAAATGTCAATTTTTATTCAAGAAGGAGTCTGTTATCCCTGGTCACAAATCACCAGGTACAAGTAACATATGTGAGCTGAATGTGTATGAACCCTTTATCATAAAGAATAGTTCCCGATGGATTTCGTGACTTCATTCACCATAATGAATTACTTCAACCATTTTCACGATAGAAACGAAAAAACAAATTAACAGTTTTAAAACTTGTCCAGCAGGCTTTTTCTCAGCAGGTTGAAAAATTTCTAGTCTTGTTGCAATTCTTATGACCGATGACATTCTTTGTTTTTTTTGGGTTACCAAAGAGGAGCAAGTTGAAGACACCGAAGGAAACCAAGACTTACCTGACAACAACGGTTCATTTGGTGAAAAAAGCACTTACTAAATACTTATCAGACTTTTCTCGACTTGTAAAATAATAACACAACAGAGTTGGCCCTCACGATGGACAGAAAGTATTTGTGCTGTTAATCAACTCATCCTTCTAGAATTTGCATGATCCTGTAGGTCTAATTACGCACTACACCACTCGCTGTAACTTTGCCGCCCGTGGTAGGATACGATTTGGATGGGTGTGACAAGTTCAATGTCTGATATGCGTTCTTGATCATAAGCTGCCTATCTTTTTATTTTATTTGTTGTTACAAACTAGACCAGTCGTACTGAACTAAATTTATACTGCACTGAGCTAAACTTACGACCATAATAAATAATAACAAAGTAATATTAATTCAGATGCGTTAAACTAG